TGCATGAGACAAGTGCTCGGGCCTGGTGCACTGGGAAGACCCAGAGGGATCAGGTGGAGAGGGAGGTGGGAGGGGGGACCGGGATGGGGAATACATGTAAATCCATGGCTAATTCATTTCAGTGTATGACAAAACCACTGCAATGATGTAAAGTAATTAGCCTCCAACTAATAAAAATAAATGGAAAAAAAAAAAAGAAAACACTGGTGAATATCTGGAGACATTCTTTGTTGTCACGACTTGGGGTGCAGGGGTAGAGGTTGGGGTGCTGCAGAACACCTGGGACACAGGCCAGCCCCTGGATAGAGGCTCATCTGCCCCAAAGGCCAGCGATGCTGAGGCTGAAGCCTGGAAACGGGGGCCTTTCCTTTTAGACAGGGGGCCCGACACACCGGAGGCACGCAGATCTTTTCAGAGGAATGAGTGTCTACCGTTGATTCTGTCTCCTCTCCCAAGTCCACAGCTGGAGCTGGGTTCATGGTAGGCGTGGAAACTGATTACCTGCAGAGGTGGGGGGAAGACATGCCCTCGCTCCCCACCGGGGCCCCTGCGTCCCCAGAGAGCCCTGAACCTTCTCTGGTCCTCTGCCTAGCATCCTTCAGGGCAGCCCCAGCTGCAGATGAAAACATTCTTTTTTTGGCCCAGAACTGTTTGCCTAGAAAACATCTTCTCTTTTCCAGCTCCACGGTTCACACGTGGGGAAGGAAGCAGGAAAGGACCGGGTGCAGAGCTGCTGAGCAGAGAGAAGTAGGGGCCGCCCCTCAGCCCCGGGGGATGAAGTGTTTGGAGAAGCGTGGCTCTGGGCTCATCTGGAAAGTATGCTTCTTGAAAGGGAGATGATGCAAAACACTCTGCGCGGTGCCCACAACTGTCGCCTGGGGGCTCAGCTCCCTCTGCCAAGAGCTGGGCGACTCCAGGCTGGAATCTTTCAGGAGCCCATTAGGTGGGCGTCGGGCTGGAGGCTGGGGCCCAGCTCCAGGAGGGCCACAGGCCACTGTGGCGTGGCTTCAGTCGAAAGTCCCCCACCACGCGCCCCTTTGGAGGATGTTTCATTGGCCTCTGGTCTCAGCCTCTTTCTCTCGCCCGACCTTTGAGAGAGCCGGCCGCGATGGCTGTTCAGCTGATAGAGGTGTGAGACGGGGCGGCGGGCAGGGTGCTCCGTGTGTCCAAGTCCACTTGATAAAGGCCTTTGAGGGTATGGATCTGCCGCGTCTGAAGTGTGCTTTCAGATGAAACTCGAGGATGGGCTGGACCCTGGTCAGAGAAGGCCGGAGCTGGGGTTCCCCGCCCCTAGGCCCTGTCTCCTGACAAAGCCCTCCTGGAAAGCTGCTCTTTCAGAGCAGGCCCAGGGCACCACTTCCTAGACATGGCCTCGGTGGGACCTTTGCTCTTGGCTCTGAGAGTTGCCCCGGGTTGGACGAGGCCCACTGGCCCGTCAATGGTTAACCTTGCCAGTGGGCTTCCCAACAGACACTGTTTCCTCAAGACCCAGCCCTTCTGGTTGCTTCAAGGAAGTGGTGTGTGATTATGTTTGTATGTGCATGTGGCTTCTCCTTTCTAAACATACAGATTTCAGGGTGATTGCATTGTCATGTGGGGATCAGTGAGTCTGCCTGGGGCCGGAGCGCCTGCAGGAGGGGCTTGGGCCCACGGGGGTGGCGGGCTCCCCACTGGCTCGCGGCCCAGACGGGCTGTTTGCCCAGGTCTATGTGTTTGTCCCCTGTCACGGCTGGGTGGTGGTGAGCGCCCTGCTCCATGCAGAACCTGTGAGGCTATTAGGGGGACACATCAGTCCTTTCTGGGAACCACGTGGCGGGCGGTCATCTGACATGGTGCAGGCCTGGGTATCATGTGAACCTGTGAGGCTATTAGGGGGACACATTAGTCCTTTCTGGGAACCACGTGGCGGGCGGTCATCTGACATGGTGCAGGCCTGGGTATCATGTTCCGTGGCTTGTGCCTTCATCCTGGAAGCTGCGTGGTGAGCCCGTGGGCCCTGGGGCAGTTGTGAGTCCCTGTGGGGGCTTCTGGAGTGGGGGTCACACCGACCCTGGGGACGCTGATCCAGCATGGGGTCACTCTCATCTCTCCCAGGGCTGCCGTGGGTGCCAAATAGGGGAAGGGGCACAGCCCCCAGGGGCTGGGGAGGGCAGAGGCTCCCGGCTGGGCTGACCTGCCCCAGGGACGTTTGGAGACATTTTTGTCTGGTAGTGAGTCCTGGGGGTCTGTGCCGCTGGCCCCTCGCAGGCCGCTGGGCCGCATGTCCCCCGAGCGCAGGGCCCCTCCACGCCAGGTTGCAGCCCCGGGCGTGTGGGACACAGCTGTGAGACCGGACTGTGGCCATGAGGTGCTGGCCTGTGAAGCCCCAAGCCCCTCTCCCGCCCCACTCTCTCCTCCCTGGGCACAGAGCTAACCCATGGTCTGCAGCAGCAGCAGCAGCAGCGTCTGTCTCGGATCCACAGCACGGCCAGTCGGGGGGAGTCAGAGCTCATCTTGCCGTGTGGCGACCTGGGAGCACCCCGCTCCTTCGGGTCCCACACCCGCAGGCAGTGCCCTTGCCTGCGTTCCTCTGGCACTTCCCACTGAGCCTGGTCCTGTAGACCCCGGGAGCCCCGAGTCTCCTGCCGTCATCAGCTTGGTGACTGTGAGCCCACCAGTGGTGCCTGTCCCCGCCTCCTTCCCCCCGCATGGCTCTGGGCCCGGGTCCCAAGGACCCTACCTGGAACTGCCCCCCAACCTTGCTGCTGTGGCCATTGCCGCCAAGGTCACCTAAGGTCACTGGGGCTGGTCCCCTGCAAGGACCCTGCAGCATCCCGAGCCCCACCCCCAGTCTGGTTTGTTCAGCCACAGCCAGCGTGCCCTTTACCACGTGTGTTCAAGTCAGGCCCCCTCCTAACCAGGGCCCCCATTGTCCCTGGGACCCAGTTGAGTCCCCACCCTGGCCCCAACCCTGGGGCCCCAGGCCTGGTCCTCTGTGGACCAGCCCTCCTGCTCCCGCCCCTCGGGGCCGGGCCTTGGACTTTTACCGCCCGTGTTCCTGCCTGGGATCTCCTCCCCCCGGACTTTCCACTGCTTCGTGTCACCTGCGGCTCGTTCAGCCTCACTTCCTCGGCCCAGGATGCCAGCTTCCACTCTGCCCCGCTCGTGCCTTGCTCTCTGCCTGGCCTCGATCGCCTGACACTGCGCTTTCTAGGTGTGCTTGCCTGCTTCCTCTGTCTGCCTGTTAGATTGCCAGGCCCACGGGGCAAGGACTTCATCTCTATTAGTCACAACACCTCCCAGGTGCCTGGAACAGCAAGGGGAACAGCGTGGGCACTGCCTGGATGCCCGTGAGACCCCTCCCCTTGGACGGATGAAGAGAGAGACCAGCCAGCGGCTTCGGCTCCGCGGTCCTGGGGGCAGCCTGGCTGGGGTCTTTCCCCAGTGATCGTATAAGCAGGTGGAGCCGGCCACTCAGGAAGTCCTCTTTCCTGAAATCCTCAGGAGGAGGGGAGCCAGGAGTGCGGCAAGCCAGCCTCAAGGTTGGGGGACACTCGTCGGCCGCCATCTCTGCGGGTCCTGCAGTCCTGGGCCAGGGGCTGCGTCTTCAGTTTCCTCACCCCTCACTCAGGGTTGACTCGCTCCCTCTGTGAAGTGCAGACACCTCTGAGAGATGTAGCAGTTCTCCTAGACAGGCGTCAGGGGGCTCTTTGCTCTCTCAAGGTCTCAAGGGAAGTGAGACCATTCTTACTCTGATGAACTCATGCCAGAAATTGAGAAGGTTGAAAATTATCGCTATTTTCTCCAAAAGTGATTTGAGGCAAACAAGGGCAAACCCACAGTTTGTTATGATTATTGCTCTTATTGTTTATTGATTATTATTATTAACAAAATCCATGCCAACCTTTGGGATAACTCCAAAATTCTACTGAAGACAAAATCACCAGGACTCTGTCCTAGCTCCTCTATGATCAGAGTTAAAGGAATGTTTCAGGGAGTCACTTTGCTGATGGTGGGTTTCCTAAGCTCGTGCGCTCTTTCGGGGATGCTGGGCTGAAGGAGCTCCAGGTCCCCCCACCCCCCACCCTCCAACGTGGATCATCATCCACACGTGTTCTTGCCCAGGAAGCTGTGCCTGGGAGCCTCTTGTAGTCTTTATTTGTGCCACATGTATTCGTGTTCCGGTTGTTTTCTACCATGAATTTTAAGACAGACTACACATCTATAAAGAAAATAAATTCAACGATAAATACTTCTGGGAATAAGTTGTGCTTGAAAAAAGTGGACAGCTACAAAGTTTTATTTCAAGTAGGCAGAGTAAAGCTGAGTGATGATTATCCTTGACCCAGTTTCTAGGTTTTGCTAAGAGTGTGGAAAATACTTTTGCAATTACAGGGGTTGGATTTGGGCTTCCCGACTCGGTAATGAGTTTGACAAAGGATGTTTACGTAAGTGAACTCGGGGTGAGCCTTGCCAAGGCAGCGAACAAGTCGCTCTGCTGTTCTGATTGCCAACAGTCAATATAGCCTGTGTTGCATCACATTTCTTTTATATAGATTATCCGTCACTGGAACCTCCTCAGGTCACTGTTACCATTCCCCCTCTTGGCATCAAAGCAAGATTACTGAGCTAAGTCATTACTCTTGCTTTTGAAATGTAAGCATTGATTGGCAAGTTTATGCCAAACATCTTGCGTAAGTTTCTCCTGGAAGCTGTAAAATCTAATCTGAAAAGGAAAGTAGGAACAACTTCTACAGATGTTAGTGTAACGCACACTGAGAGCATTTTCTTTGTTGCTATCCAGTGGTTTTGGTAGCTTTTTTTTTTTAATTGGAAATAGTCCCTAAAGTTTTTGTTTCAGGCAGATAAGGAAATAAGTTCAAGTACTTGATCCCTCCTGGATGATGTGTATTGATTGGTTGCTTTCACATTTCAAATAGTCACACTCATTCCTTGTTTTCCCCTTCTGTTCTTAGAAGAGCAATTCATTCAATTGAGATCACGTTTTAATCAACTACTCCCCTCCCACATACTTTAAAGAGCATATTCAAACAGCTCTTGTTTTGCTCACCCAGCCCCCGTCTGAGAATCGCTGCGGTCAGTCGGTCTCCCTACAATGTCTCTGTTTAAGAATTGTTGTTGCTTAGTCACTCAGTCATGTCTGACTCTTTGCGACCCCGTGGACCGTAGCCCGCCAGGCTCCTCTGTCCATGGGATTCTCCAGGCAGACTACTGGAGTGGGCTTCCATTTCCTCCTCCAGGGGATCTTCCCAACCCAGGGGTCGAACCTGCGTCCCCTGCATTGGCAGGTGAATTCTTCACCGCCGAGCCACCAGGGCAGACATTCTGACAATGATTGACCCTTAATCACCTGCTCAGTCACTCCTCTGGGGCAGCCAGGCCTGTCTCAGTGTCCGATCCTTCCTCCCCTTCCTTGCTCTCCGTCTCCTGTGGCGCTTGCCACTGAAGGCCGTGCTCCGAGCTGCGAGTTCTCCGTGACTTTCAGGTTTCCTGTCCTCTGTCTCCCGACGGGCCCCTCCTCCCCGGGCCGCTCTCCAGGGTCAGTGCTCCCGTCAGTGTCCCCGCTTCCTTGCTCCTGGAGCGCCTCTGTCTCAGGACTTCGGATTGGAGACGCTCCTCTCTGCACTCTGCTGTCCTGATCTCCGCGTGTCTTCAAGCCCCTTTGCTAGGACGTGTTGGGGCCGTCTCTCCCTCAGCGCATCTGAAGCCGCAGCTGCACGACCGGCTTCCCTTCCCAAGTCCTTTATTTCCATGAACGGTGTCATCACTCTTCTAATCAGCCTCAGAATCTTGAAATAATTTCTCACATGTGCTTCTTTCTCTTCTCACATAGCTACACTGTAGATCGTGACAGGTGTTGCCATTTCTATAAGCTTCCACGTTACCCCGCAGTATTACTAGGTTATTCCTAAGTATGACTGACAGCGTTATTACCTGCTTAGAAAGACACCGTATATTTGAGTGATGTGACCAGGACCTACGGGACAAGATCACACCGAAACTAGAAGGATAATCATGAGGCTTTGAGTCAATCTTTTGAGTCAGAGTAGCTTCTGGGGCCTAGTCTTATCCATCCATCATCCCACCCATCCACCCATCCACCCACCTACCCACCTACCTACTTACCTATGACCTGACTTGCCTACATTTCTGTCTCTCTTCCAG